TCCACACCCCTCCCCGCCTCAGCGTCATTTGGGCAAAGGAGAGAAAAAATTTGCTTTTGACAAATAGCATTACTGGCGTGAAAAAAAATTTTAATAGATGAAATATCAGTTGTGATTTGGTGCTTAAACCTTGAGATTAGTTTGCATCATGTAGTCATGAGGTTTTTAATTAGCAAAAGACTTAAGGACTGAGACTGTTCTGTTCTCTGTGATTCTTGCTGTGGTTTGGAGGCTAACACAGCAGATCACCTGCATCTGAATAGCACCCAAAGAACGGGACCTCCCATTCTTAGCCGTCACATGTTAGGAGGAGAGGGCGGAGAACTCTGGACCTCAAGTTTGAAAATCTGACGTCCAGAGTCCCCCTCTGCCTCTCACAGGAAGGCATGTGCATGGAGCGAAGGTGTGGCCTCTGAGCCAGGCTGAGACAGTCAGGCCCTCGCTGTCATTTGTCATTTGTCTTAGAACATATAACTATGAGCCTGCATATTCTCATACACACGAGGTGGCAATGGTAGCGATTGCCTATAGGATTTTGTGGGAATTAAGAATATTAAATGTTATATATGTACATATATATATATATATATATGAAAAGGTAAAGCATCTGGAGCATAGCATGCGTTTGATCATGAATGGTAGATCAAAATCATTATCATCATTTTTATTATAATTCTCACATCTTCCTTGAACGATCTTTCACATTTTTTCTTTAATGATGTCTCCATTACGATGTGTGATGTCAGAGATTTGCTTACATTATAATGAAATTAGATCTGTTTAGTGCGAGGCTCACTGTACTTTATATGTTATGAATGCCACCTTACAGACAATAATAATAGTACCGATGGTGACTTAAGCAGTGGCTGCGGTACCCGCTGCCTTGTTGATGAGACAGAACCCACGAGAGCGCTGATGTCTCACTCAATTCTCCCCAGTCAAACCCTCTCTCTCCTCTCAGAGGTCCCACCTTGTTCTTCATCGTTGTACCACATTTATTCCTAAAATGTATGTATTCCCTGGCTCTGTAGGCTTTCGAGCTTCAGATAAAAGGAGTCATGCCGTGTGCATATGGTACACGCAGATGCAGGTGGCCTGCTTCTCTATCACAACATTATATGTTAAGAGTCATCTGTGACAATGAATAAACCCACAGTGTGCTCCTTTTCAATGCATTAGAGTATTCCATTGTATGAAACAAATACATACGGTGAATCCTTCCTCCTGTTCATGGATGTTTGATGTCGTTTTTAGGTTTTATTTATGATGTTTTATTTTGTGCTATTCTGTATGTGGCTGCTGTTAATATTGTGTTAGATGGAGCTATGTAAAATAGGCATGTTTACAGGTGAAAATAGTACAAACTTAGACAATTCTTACAATTCAACCCAATTGATGCTTATCTGCAATAGTATCTGAGGAATACACCTACGTGCAGCAGAAATGTTAGTTCACATGCATCTTCATCTTTGAAAATGACACCTAATTGTGTTGCGAAGACATTGTACCAATTTGTACTTACTATTTGACATTGTCCCATCACCTATCAACACTTGATGGAGACTTTTTATATTTTGGTAGGTGTGAAATGTGGTTTTAATTTGCAATTCCATATCTACCAATGACATTAAGCATCTTTTCCTGTGGGCATTGGCCAGATTTGTTTCCTCTGTACAAAAATGGGAAAGTGGCTTTGGAACTGGCTAATGGGTGGAGGCTGGATGGCTTTGAGGTACACGCTAGAAAAAGCCTAGATATCCTTGGAGGACCTGTTGGTAGGAATATGTGCACCAAAGATGTTTATGCTCAGGGCTCAGAAAGAAGAGGAGAGCTGTAGAGAAAGGGTCTGTCACCTTGGAGAGAACATGTCATCATGCACAGAATGTTGGTAGAAACATGAGTGTTGAAGCTGGGTGGGATGAGCTCTCAGGTGGAAATGAGCATGCTATTGAAATCTGGAGGAAAGGCAATCCCTGTATGCAGTGGCAAAGAACTTGGCTGAATTGTGTTTTAGTCTTGTGTAGAAGGTGGAACTTGTGAGAGATGAAATTGGATACTTAGGTGAGGATATTTCTAAGTAAAGTATTGAAGGCATGGTCTGGTTTCTTCCTGCTGCTTATAGCAAAATGTGAGGGCAGAGAGAGACCTTGAAGAAGCAATTGTTAAGCAAAAGCAACCAGCATGTGAAGATCTGGAACATTCTCAGTCTATCTATACGGCAAAAACAAGGAAGCCTGTCTTGAGAGAATATCAAGAGTGTGGCTGGACAACCACTTGCTGAAGAGATAACACATGTGACTCAGGGATCCAATCAACAACTCCAGCAGAAACCAGGAGTAGAGATTCTGGTATCTGCAGAGGACTCTCTTGTCTTGTCTCTTGTCCCCCCAACCATCCCCCCCAACGAATTCCACTGGAAGCCAACAAAGCTTTTGAAAACTTACAGGAACAGAAAACACTGCCAGCTCAGGCTAAACAGAGACCGGATGAAATGGAGACGGGCTGTTGGGCATCTGAGATTCTACAGGATGGGCCAACAGAGCTGCCTGGCTACAGACGTGTTGTTTTTCAAGAGCAGGGAAGAATGACCCTGCAGGCAACTCAGAGGTCTGCGGTGCCACCCCTGCCACTGCCCCCATGACCTGGTGGGGGTGGGGAGGGTCTCTTCTCAGTTACAGAGGTTGTGGCCACCTCCTCAATTTCAGCAGGCCAAGCCACTGTGGCTGCACCCAGGGCCAAGGGGGTGGGCCGGCCAGCCTCGTGGGCTCAGAAGACAGGGCCGCCCTCAAGGGCACAGAGGACAGAGCATGGAGCCAAACAGTTTAATTCTTGGACCTTAAAATCAAATAGAATTTGCTCTGTTTTCAGACCTGCTTGAGACCCGGTACCCCTTTCTTGTTTCTGATCTCTCCCATCTCGAATGGGAATATCTGTCCAAGGGCTGTCGCACCCATTGCGTTTTGGAAACAGATAACTTCTTGTCTGGATTCCTAAGCTCACAACTGCAAAAGACTTTTCCTTGAATAAATCATAGCTCAAGTCTCACCTACACTTAATTTAGATGATTCTTAGATGAGATTTTGGACTTAGAGTTGATGCTGGACTAGGTTAATACTTCTATGGCTGTTGGTATGGGGTGAACATATTTTGCATGTGAAAAGGGTGTGAATTTTGAGGGGTCCAAGATGTGGAGTGTTATGGGCTGAGTTGGGTCACCCCAGAATTGATATGTTGAAATCCTAACCCCAGCACTTCAGACTGTGACAGTATTTGGAGATAGGGTATGTAAAGAGGCATTTCAGTTAAAATGAGGTTAGTAGGGTTGACCCTAATCCAATATGACTGATACCCTTATAAGGAGAAGTTTAGACACAGACACATCCAGAGAGAGAAGATGAGATGAAGACACAAGGAGAAGACAGTCATCTATAAGCCAAGGAGAGAGGCCTCAGAAGAAACCAATTCTGCTAACATCTTGATCTCAGGCTTCTAGCCTTCAGAACTGTGAGAAATATAAATTTCTGTTGTTCAAGCCACCTCGTCTGTGGTACTTTACCTGTTTTTATAGCAAACCAATACACCCACCTATATCCAATACCATGTTGTCTTGATTTATGTAGCTCATAGTAAAGACAGCCAATATTGAGTAGAGGTAGTAACAGTCGACATTCTCTCCTTTTTTTCCTGATATTAGGGTAAAACACTCAGTCTTTTATCATTAAGTACAAGGTTAATTGTAGGTTTTTGTTGTTTCAATTTAAAAAAAAAAAAACCTTTATATGATTGAAGAAGCATCCATCTACTCTGTGTTTGCGAAAGGTTTCTGTCATGAATGGGTATTGAATTTTTTCAAATGCTTTTTCTGCATCTATTGAGATGATTGTATGATTTTTCCCTTTTATCCTCTTAATGTGCTGAATTATACTGATTGATTTTTGAATGCTGAACCAACCTTGCATCGCTTAGATAAAACCCACTTGGTCATGGTATATAATAATTCTTTTGAAATCTTCCTGGATTGGTTCCATGAATATTTTGCTGAGGATGTTGGCATTTATGTTTATGGTGGCCTTCAGTTTCAGTTCTGGGTGATGTGCTAGAATTATTTATTTGATTTCATCCCAGGGTGCAGCCATTTATTAAAAATGATTTTTAGACATATTGTTCCCCATAATTATTAGGTATGCACTGCTGGGAGGTGTTTCTCTGAAATCCTTTCTTTTCTACCACTGAAAAATGGCTAAATAAGATTATTTTGGTATATTTTTTCCCTTTTGCAGAAGAGAGTTTATTGATTTTTAGTTTATATTTCATAGTTATGTGATGAAAATTTCAAGGATATAAAGCAAGGGTGCCCAACTTTTTGGCGTCTCGGGGCCACACTGGGAGAAGACGAGTTGTCTTGATCCACACATTAAATACACTGTGACCTGTAATCACACACACACACAATCCCATATTCTTTTACGTAAATTCACGATTTTATGTTGGGCCACATTCATAGCTGTCCTGAGCCGCATGTGGCCCGTGGGCCGTGGGCCGGACAGCCCTCTGATATAAAGTATATATAAGATATCTCTCGAAAGTCTTGTAGTTTATTTTATTTTGCAGTTACATATACTGCTTAGAATTTAAAATGTCAAACTATAGAAATTTAGGATTTTGGGATATTGTATTTTGGTATTTGGTATTTGGTGTAGAAATTTAGGATTTTTGGATATTGTCTTTTGGAATGTGGACCGAAATCCACATTTGGTCTCATGTGTGCTTCATTTTGTTGGAGAGAATAACTTACTGATTTCTAGTTTAAGGGTGGTGATGGATAAAACTGGCAGCCTTGCTGAAGTCATCGGTACCTATTTGCTGAGGATGAGAGCGCAGCAAGATACTTCCTTCTATAAACACTGTATTTAATTTTGTTTAGTAACCAAATTGGTTGACTTTATCCATCAGGAGTTTGTGCCTTGCCCTCAATGTGTGGCCTCTCCTTGGTTTCCCAGGTCTTGTCTCATCACCTGTGTTTGGCATTAAATCATGGGGAGGAAGCTGGACCTGTCGGGGCTGACGGACGACGAAACCGAGCATGTTCTCCAGGTGGTTCAGCGAGACTTCAACCTTCGGAAAAAAGAGGAAGAACGGCTAAGGTGAGATGCTTCTGTTGCCTTCCAGGGTGCAGTGGGCCGTCTGTGGACACGTGAAAACAGGTTTCCCGAGAATGTTCCTTTGCTGCTAGCTCTGAGCTCGGAAGTCTTTTTGTCCCTTTGCAGAAAGGCTTGCCAGCTTCAATGCTGGGCATCACAGGAAACGTGAGCATTTGCCCTCCCAGCCAAGGCTTTGTTTGGGCTGCTCACCCTGCCAAGTGTTAGCTGTAGAGCGGGTGGAGTTTGCGATGACAGAGGCTGTGTTGAGCTTGCTCCCTGCTGTAGCTTTCCTGTTGGCAGCTACTCCTGAAAAATAACCAGTGTCACATAAACAATTCTTGGAGAATGACACTCATACCCACACCGTCTTCTGCTAGAGCCTGCCCCTCCCAGGTCTGAAGACCTGGTACGAAAGTGACACCAGGTTAGAATAGGATCACCTGGCCCAGCCCCACCCTCCTCATTTTATAGATGAGGAAACTAAGGCCCCCAGGATTGGGGTCTTCTGACTCCTCTACAGTTGATATATCTGTGTAGGATGTTCTTGAAAATCTCCTTGCTGCTCAGCAGGGCACAGTGAAGAAGCCAGAGTGATAGAAATGAGGCCACATGTTGGGCCTCATGTGTTAGAACCAGGCAACCATCAGTATCAGCTGCTGTCACCACGAATTTGTTCTCCCTCAGGATGCCACAGCTTTGTCGTGGCCCTGTGGCCCTCCTCAGCCACGGAGATCCGAATCCCAGGTTTTTTTTTTTAATTTTATTTTATTTTCCATTACAGTTGACATGAAATATTATGTTAGTTTCAGGTGTACAACACAGTGATGAGACATTTCTATAACTTGTGAAGGGATCACACACCTCAGTCTTTGTAAGTCCCCTCCTGACTCGGTTCCCCACACGGGGCAGGGCAGGGCTTCGTGGATTCTGCCTGTTGACCGTCTCTCCGATCCCCATCCGAGGTCGGCTCTCATCGCTCTTCATCCAGTCCCTGCAGGACCCTTCTTTGTGACCCTCCTGCTTCCACTGTCTGCCACCACCCCCTCAAGGAGCCCATCCGCACCAGGGACACACCACATCTCAGCTCGAATCACCCCCTTTCCTGCTCTGTAACAATTGATATAGTTTGTTTTCCTTTTCCCTTGGGCTACGTTGGACTTTCTGTTTCTTTGCAATATTGCCTCCTTTATTAGATTGTAAGACACACTAATGTAATCATCTTTATTTCCACCATGTTTTTCTTCCATGTTGTAAATATTCAACATAGGGATGGACAAAAGTAGGTTTATAGTTATGAGTATGCAAAACACAGTTTATTCTTGCATTATATGTTCTTCCACACATATAGCTATAAACCTCCTTTTGCCCACCCCAGTAGGGACTTGTTAGATGCAAGACAAGAAATCTGTTAGTTAAATAGTTGATTTAAAAACTATGTGCCAGGTACTGTACTAGCTGTTAGGTATATAACCATGAGCAAAACCAGGCTTTCCCTGCTGGAGTTTATATTCAGAGCTGCGCTGACCATACCACAGCCACCAGCCAGGGGTGGCTGCTGATCATTTGTACTGTGGTGAGTCTGAATGCAGGTACACGGTAAGTGTAGCAGATTTTAAAACTTTAGTACCAAAAAAGGTAAAATATCTCATTGATAATTTTTCTATTGATTACATTTTTACAATGCCAATATTTTGGATATATGAGGTTAATGAAAAACTGTAGCATTATTTTTTTCTGTTTTCTTACTTTTTTTTTTTTTTTTAGCATGGCTATTAGGAAAAGCAAGTTGAGCATTTTTGAGCCCAGGAGTGATGTGATCTGACAGCTGTTTTAAGGGACCGCTCTGGCTGCTCCGCAGGGGGGTCATTGTAGGAAGCCAGGAGAGACAGTGCAGAGACAAGTTAGGAGGCAGTTTCAGAAACCCAGGTGAACACCCGGCAGTGGGACCTCGGAGGCCTGCGTTGTGACGTGGCACCACGACACAGAGGAGCCCAACCCCTAAGGCATGGGTGGAGGAGAGTTTCTAATGGCCAGCAAGGGACTCTGTGAGAAAGAAACAAACCTTCATCGGTTAAGTCACTCAGACCCGGGGGTTTATTCGTTATAGCAACATAGCCTGGTATTGCGTTGGCTAATGTAGTTTGTGGTACCTAAAAGGGACTTGAGTATTCGTGCCTCTACCCTCAACTTGACAGCTCAAGAAGCCGGCTTGGGGGCCACCCAGGCAGTCCCGGGCTGCCGATACTAGGGTGGCCGGTCTTCTGCCCTCTGGCACCTCAGGCAGTAGAAGACACCTGTGGAAAGATCTTCAGGCTTCTACTAGAATCATAGTATATACCCCATGATTTTGTATTTCAGGCACATTTACAAAAAGTGTTTTTTAACAGGGCTGTTGATTACACGGCACTCTGGTGTTCCGATGAAATCTTGGTGACATTTAATGAGATAGTCACAGACTTGAAAAGTTCTCATTTACCATATGCTTGCAAGAAGCTAGTTAGCATCTGGATAACCTCCAAGGTTTGCTGACGTTCTTGCGGCCTTGGTCTGCAGGGGAGCCAGGGTAAGGTTTGATGGACTTGTTTCCTGTAACTGCGACTGGCCATTAATCGTCAGCGTTTGCTGCACTGACAGTGTTCTCATGACTGCCAAGGGCTTCTGGGCCCGGGGAGGCCGGGGCCAGGGGAAGGAAGGGAGGGCCAGGGCGGCAGAAAGACAGAGGCAGAGAACTTCCTGCCTGGTCTTTTCCCGAGAGGCCACGCCGCCGTGGTCGTCAGCTGCAGCGTGTCGCCTCCTTTCCCATGGTGAGGAAGGGAATGAGATGTCCTTGGAGACCCATCGCTGCTGCTATAGTGGCTTCAATGACTCACTTGGTGGCGTGGCCTGTGTGTGTGTTGACGGGGGGTGGAGAGGGGGGGGGGCGTGTGGCAATCTTCTATCCATCAATAGTCATCTCAATGTTGTAAGGAAATAAATAAGACCTGCCACAGGCTGTGGAGGAACCACTGTGGGGAAGCAAAGCCTCTCTCTAAAGCAGCAATAAAGTGTGTGTCTAGTCTACAGAGACTCCTTTGAGGATTAATCACTTTTTTTTTAAGTAGAAAGAACACATTTCCTTTTAAACAAATTAAAATTGTGTTACAAAAACTTAATTTTTCAAGAAGTTTCTTTTTCAAAAAAACAAAATGCCTTTGTACTCAGTGTTCTTTGTTTGGACAGTTAAATTGATCTAATAAATTAACAAATACTCCCAATTACCTTCTTCTTGGAAGCTGGAAATCCTACCGCCTCCTCTTTATTCGGTTGGAATAAATACGCCCTGCGGCTTATGAAATAACCGCGTATGCACAGAGCACATCTGGCCCTTGGGGCTCTTGCGAGGCCGCCCTGACGCTGTGGCATTAACCTGCCCGGTTAACAGTGCATCCGCTGTCTCAGTGCAGAGATGCTGCGAGGCAGAAGTTCCTGGCTCGGCACCAGCTGAGCAGAGTGGCCAGCCAGTCACCCGGCTGCCTTGACACAGCAGAGCCCAGAGCAGTGTACTTTATGGTGGAGCGGAGGGTCTGGCATCACTCTGTGTGACAGTCATTTTGTGATGGGCAAGGGCCAGTAGGAGTCAGAACTGGGAGATGCCAGGCAAGGACTGGACACTTGGGGGTGGGGCCGGCGCGGGGCCCTGTGAAGTGGGGAGGCGTGTGGGGTGCCGTGGAGGGGGCAGAGTATCAATCTGAAATCTACAGGGGACCTCACAAGATTTTTTTATATCTCCTCTTTATTTATTATTAGTTATTAACAATGAAAAGGTCAAGTATGTTCAATCAAAGCTGTTGGGTATCCATTCATTTGCTTTGAATCATATATTGAATGTCGGAGCCTCCTGGGCCAATGTGGAGGGGCGGGGGGGGGGCGGCGACAGGAGTGGGGAAGGACGCACAAATTTAATAAGGGCCTTAATCCATGAGGAAGGGCCCAGAAGCGGGGGTAGGTCTGATACAAATGATGAGGATGCTGCAGAGAGTGAGCGAGAAAAACATCAGGGCAGACCCGGGGAAAGAGTTCCATCCCAGAGGTGGCAGGGAGGGAGGGAGGCTTCTTGAAGCAGGGGGCATGGGACATGGTCCTTGGAAGACAGGCAGGATTTTGTAGGTCCTGCCATCATCCATCGATGATGCAAAGTTCTGGGCAGCAGGGGCCATCTGAGCAAAGGAGTGAGGGTGGAAAACAGGACATGTTTTCTCAACGCCCCCCCACCCCCGCACTGGGATCGGTGGGAGATGGGAGGGGCAAAGGAGAAAGGGACTACTTTGCCACGCTGCTAATCATGTTGTAGAGAGTGTGGCCTTCCAGGAGTGTCACCTCTTCGCATTCCCAGCAGCCCCTGGGAGAAAAACACTGTTGTCTGTTTCCAAAATGGGGATGTGAATAACTTCCCCTGGTTGCACATAGTGAGAGGTAAATTCAAATCCGAGCAGGGGTGCCCATAGCTGGGGCCAGTGAAAGGAGAGCACGCTGTCCCGGTACCGAAAGCAGGGGCACCCAGGCGCCACGCGACCGAGCAGGCAAACAGGGCCATCTTACAAAATCCAGCGCCTCTCCTTGCGAAAACCCCGTGACGTGCGGGGATGGGAAGTCGTAGGGTGTAAGTCAGGACATGAGGAGGCGGCTGTTGGGACAGTACAGTCGTCATTAGCAAATGTGTCCCTGAGCACTTTAAACATGGCTTGTCCAAACTGCCATGTAGTCTAAGGGTGAAATACGCTCCGGGTTTCAAAGCTCTAGTCTGAAAAAAAGAACGTAAAATCTCTTAGTAACTAATTTTTAATATCGAAAACAGATTGAAATGTATCTAAATTACACTTCAAATAAAAGGTGTAATTCAAATTAATTTTACCTGCTTTTTAAAAAATTTTTGCAAATGTGACTACTAGAAAACTTCATATATATGAAGTTTTCTTCATATATATATATATATATATATATATATATATATATGGCTCACATTT